CTTCTATGGCATCGTAGAATGGGACATATCAGCCTGCCTAAGCTAGTAAATTTGTCCAAATCAGATTGTATCCGAGGTGTCCCCATGCTAAAACAGAAAACTGATTTCTTCTGTGAAGTATGTATTACTAGTAAGCATACTAAGAAATCCTTTAAATCGAAGTCTGATATAACTTCTCAGCAAATGTTTGAGCTTATACACATGGATCTTTTTGGTCCATGTAATGTTACTAGCTTGGGTGGTAAGAATTATGTTCTAGTTCTGGTAGATGATTACTCTCGCTATACCTGGGTTTTCTTTTTAGCTCACAAAGATGAGGCAGTTAAAAAATTTGAGTCTTTTGTGAAACAATTCTCAGGACAAATTAAGAACATTAGGAGTGACAATGGTGGGGAATTCGTGTCAGAAGAGTTTGAGAATCTATGTAATGATTCAGGGATAACCCATAGCTTTTCAGCCCCTCGTACTCCACAACAAAATGGAGTTGTCGAGAGGAAGAATCGTACTATTATAGAATGTGCTCGTACCATGCTTCTTGAGTATAACTTACCAAAATCCTTTTGGGCAGAAGCAGTTAGTACAGCTTGCTATGTTCTGAACCGTGTGCTTATTAGAAAAGGTTTACTGAAAACTCCTTATGAAGTCTTTAAGAATAAAGTGCCTAATATTGCTTACTTTCATTCGTTTGGATGTCCCTGTTATGTGCTTAACACTAAGGAACATCTAGGAAAATTTGATGCTAGGTCTGATGAGGCCATATTTCTGGGGTACTCTATTAAAGGGCAGGCCTATCGTATTTACAATAAGCGAACCAAAAAGGTGGAAGAATCTGTCCACGTTAAGTTTAATGATGCTAATCCTATCTCTAAGGTCTCTGAACAGGAAACGATGCAGTTTGATCTTCTAGAAATGACCAGAGGGTCTTTAAATGAAAATACTGCTGTTCAAGATGACATGAGCGGAACAAATGGGGAAATGGAGGGCCAAGACCTGAATACTCAAGCAGACTTAACTGTCCATCAGAACTCAGAAGACTCAATTGACACACAAGTTGCAGCTCCACCTCATATACAGAGACGTCACCCAGTAGAACAAATCATTGGTGATGCCAATGCAGGAATTCAAACTCGAGGTAACAGATACACCCCAGGTCAGTACGCCTACATTTCTCAAGTAGAACCTAAGAACTACAAAGATGCTTTGAAAGACGATGGTTGGTCTATTGCTATGACTGAAGAATTAAATCAATTTGACTATCTGCATGTTTGGGATTTAGTACCTCGTCCTTTAGATACTACGGTTCTTGGAACAAAATGGGTGTTTCGAAATAAATCTAATGAAGAAGGTGTCATTATTCGTAATAAAGCTAGACTAGTGGCTCAGGGTTATTTGCAAGAGGAAGGGATTGATTATGACGAAACATTCGCTCCTGTAGCTCGTCTTGAATCAATCCGATTACTTTGTGCTTTTGCTAGCTATATGAATTTTAAACTTTACCAGATGGATGTGAAAAGCGCCTTTTTAAATGGAGTTATTCAGGAGGATGTTTACGTTGAACAACCCCCTGGCTTCATAGACCATCAATTTCCAAATCACGTCTTTAAACTTAACAAGGCCTTGTATGGTCTTAAACAGGCTCCTCGAGCCTGGTTTGAGCGGTTAACAACTTTTCTTAAAGATGAAAAGTTCATACAAGGCAGTGTTGACAAAACCTTGTTCACTAAAAGAGTGTCAGATGATCTTCTAATTGTTCAGATTTACGTGGACGACATAGTTTTCGGATCCACTAACGAGAAACTTTGTTCTGATTTTTGTGAATCCATGAAAAATGTCTTTGAAATGAGCATGATGGGAGAATTGCAATACTTCCTAGGATTGCAAGTCAAGCAAACTTCTCATGGAATTTTCATTAATCAATCAAAGTACATATCTAGTATGCTGAATAAGTTCGATATGACTGCCTTAAATTCAAGTCCCACTCCTATGGCGACTAACATTAAATTAGACAAGGATGAAGCTGGAACTCCAGTTGATGAATCCCTCTATCGAGGCATGATCGGATCTTTACTATACCTGACGGCCAGCAGGCCTGACATACAGCATAGTGTCTGTTTATGTGCACGTTTTCAGTCAAATCCAAAGGAAAGTCACTTAACGGCTGTTAAGAGGATTTTCAGATATATCAAAGGCACACCAGATGTTGGAATATGGTATAGCAAACAGAATATGTTTGACCTCATGGGTTACAGTGACTCTGACTTTGCCGGTAGTCTTACTGATCGTAGGAGTACTACAGGCAGTTGTCAGTTTGTTGGGCTGTCTATAGTGTCTTGGTCTTGCAAAAAGCAAGGTGTTGTTGCTCTATCAACAGCTGAAGCAGAGTATATAGCAGCAGGTAGTTCTTGTACTCAGTTGTTATGGCTTAAAAATCAATTAGCTGATTATGGTCTATTAGTTCCTACTATTCCATTGTTTTGTGATAACACTAGTGCCATTAGTATGACTAGAAATCCTGTTCAGCACTCTCGTACCAAGCACATAGAAGTGAAATATCATTTCATACGAGATCTGGTACAGGATAATATAGTTACCTTACAATATATACCTACAGAATTCCAATTGGCGGATCTCTTTACTAAACCTTTGCCTGCTGATCGATTTACCTTTTTATGCTTCGAAATCGGGTTGAGATCTTTAGCATCTCTAACCGAGATCCTTGAGGCATAATTTGCTGCTCTTGCCTTCCTTTTCTTGCTTTATTTTCTTTCCTGTTGAGTCTAGGATCAGTAGTGCTTCGTTTCTTGTCTCTTTTATCTTGATTCGCTTGATTCCCTGCATTTATTTCCTTTCCTTGCTTAGAGTTTGTCTGCGGGTATTTAAGTGCGGCTCGTCCCTCCTCAGTCCTTGCATACCCTCAATTGAGTATTCCCTGCCCTCCTGTTATCATGGTTTTCGCTATCACATACACTGGCACCCTATTTTTTGAGCCTATTCCCTCCAATTATCACCGACATATCCAAAGTTTTGCGTCCCGTCCCTTTCTGCCCTCTTATCATGTTCCCTTTCCTGAGCTAGTGGAATTGGGTCTTGATGTTCATGGGTTCATTCGCAATTTAGGATGGGAATTCCTCCTAGACCAGCCTTTCTCTTCACTCATATGCCCTGATCTGGTCCGATACTTCTTTTCAAACTTTCGCTCTCCCAGGCTGGCTTCCCGCTCTTTTTCATCCATTGTGTTTGGCCATTTGTTCACCCTCCATCTCGATGATCTGTCCGAAACTCTTCATATCCCTCGAGTTGGAGAAGCTCTTGCTGACGCTTCAGAACTGGAACTTTTTGCCTTCCACTACCCTGATGAATTCCACCAGCTTACTGGTGTGTTGCCTGCCTCTGGAATGGTAATGCCAGTCTCTGCGTTGTTGCCATCTCTTCGACTGCTTCACTACTGCATCACTCGTATCTTTGTTCCTCGTGCTGAGTCCTTGGACCTAGTCCTTCCTCTAGATCTTTGGATCATCTCTCATGCTGTCCATGGGACTCCCCTCGACTATGCTCACTTAGTCTTTGGGAACCTTTTGCGCCTTAGTGATGCTGCTCTGACTGGTCCTCTTGCTTTTGGACCTTTAGTCACATCCTTGCTCCTTGAACTGCACCTCCACCTCTCACCGTTTCTCACTGCGACACCATCCCTGTATCCTCTCGCTTATCATATTCTGGATGATCTGGAGATTGCCGTTGAAGGGGAGAATGCTGTTGAAGGGGAGAATGATGTTGTCTGGGTAAGCAGCGGCTCTGATGACAGCAGCAGCAGTGGAAGCTCTGATGATGGACCTGGGCTGGAACCGTTTGTCGAAGCACTTCAGGCTCTGTTAGAATATGGGTCAGACGACGTCAGCGATGGTGCTTAAAAGAGATGTCTCTGTTTTTCTTTTTCTCGCTGAGATCGTGTTGAAGGGGAGCTTGAGTGCTTTGCTGGTCATTTCTCTTAGTTGGATTAAGAGATGTTTTGGTTGGTTTGGACCTTTGTTTGCTTTGAGTTGTTTTGACTGCGTGGTTGTGTTTGGTTCTGGTTATTGACTGCTACTTTTGAATGTTTGAGCTTTTCTTGAGTTCGTTCCTCTCTTAATCGTTTAAGTACTCTTTATCTTTGTTGAGCTGCTCGTGCTGTTGGTCGAGAGAAGGAATGTTTTCTTTTGCAGGCAATCGGCAATCTCTGATTTAAGGGGAGATTGTTGAATGAAGTTACCAAATCAGAATTGCTCTAAAGAAGGAAAGAAGGACAACCAGGAACAGCTCAGAGTTTCCATAACCATCCTCCTTCGCCATTCAAAAGCAACGGTCAAAAGATTGCTGAAGGCTATATATACAAGTGTCCTGTTAACTTGATCGGTACTTTTTGTAAGGGTGGAATAGGGCTGCTTACAATCTGGGTTAATCAAACAGGGGAAAAGGGTCTGTTTGATTAGCGGTGTAACGGGTCTGGGGATTAAGATCCGGGTTAAAATTCCTGCACTTGTACTTTGAGTCAATCTCGTTTATCTTTTGCTTGATAGGAAAAATTGAATAAAAAGAGTCTCCTAGATGTCAGCAAAGTGCTGAGTCTAGGACGAGGAGTGACCAGTAGATTGGGAACCTCGTTAAATTGCCTGTGTTCATTTAATCTTTCTGCTGCGCTTAATCTTGGTCACTTGATCAGCTCGTGCTCTGTTTTGGTCGAAGTTCCCCTGCCTCTCTGGTTCATCTTCTCGACAAGAAGACTGTAAACAGAGATCAAATAGTGGGCTTAAACTTCCTTGGGCTCGGCTGATAAATAAACTGGATTTATTTTAATTTTCCTCTTGGGCTTTTCACTGCTTTCGGCCCATGTTAATAATTGAAGAGAACTGACGAAGACAGTTCACTCGTCTTCTTCTCTCTTCTGCAATTCCCTTCTCCTCCATTTCTCTGTTTGTCGAACCCTAAATTTTCTTCTTCATTTCTTAGTTAACAATTGGTAGATTCTATGCACTTGATGATATAGATGGTAGCATTGTTGATTTACTTACGGAAGACAAAGGTGAAGTAGTAGTGTCGTCGCCGGCAAAGTGTGGGGGTAGGTCCGGCCGCCGGAATGCAGAGTCGGAGGCACCACGCTCGATATTCTCACTGGCCGGCGGCGGCGGGCGCGTAGGTTCTCCTCCGGATGTCGTCGTATCGTCAGGCTGTAATTTCCCTCCAACATTATCGGTCCCACAAAACCCAACCGTACCGTCGCTCGTGACGTACGAGGACGCCGGGCCCAACTCGTGCACCTTCGACGCCATGTTCTCCGCGATTCTCTCCACCATTACTGCTTCCGATCTTCACAACAACAACAACAAAAAAGTGAACAAAATAAATAAAAAAATTGGAGGAAATCCTCAGCCGTCAAACAGCTATGGCCCGGTGGTATCCATTCCAAAATTTCAGAAATGGAAACAAATTGAAGAAACGTGTTTATTAAGGATTTTGTTTCCACCCGTTTCTTCCCGGGGAACAAGGTTTCATTTTCACGTTGATCACAACTCACAAGTTATTGTTCGGGTGAAAACTATACCTGTCACTGGGGAGAACCCATCCGGCAATATCGGCAATGTCAGTGAGCGCGCGGCTCCAGCTGTCCACCCTCTCGTAGCTAAATACCCTTTTGTGACGGTCAAAGTCGTCCTTGTAACACCCCGACCACATATGATCGACGACGTCGTCGGGTGTCAATCTGTAGAACACCGGGAAAGCCTGGTGCCCCTTCTCCTTGACGGTCTGCATGATCTTGACCAGCTCGTCCAAGCAGTACTCCGACGAGGCGTAGCCTCTGGACAGCACGACGACGGAGAGCTTGGACTCCTCGATGGCGCGTGGGATGGCCTCGGCTACGCTCTGGCCGGGAGGGAGGTCTCGGTCGTCGCTGAAGGCCTTGATGCCTTTGCGGACGAGGGCGTAGTAGAGGTGGTCGGCGAAGGTGTGGCGGACGTCGGGCCCCCGGAAGTTGAGGAACACGTGGTGGCGCCAGGGCGTGGCCGGGGGAGGAGGGACGGCCGGAGGTGTAGGGTTGGTAGCCGCGGCACTGCCGCAATGTCTAAACCCGTGGGTTGTGACGGGATCGAAGAGGAGGAATAGTAGCAGTACTGGAGGGATAGCCATCAGGCAAGACTCAAAAGGGAGGGTTTTGGACTGAGTGTTGTACTGGAGGCGGAGGGGGGCTGCATTATTATATAGAGGCTCTACAGACTACAGTCCCCTACTGATAGCCTTTCCTTTGGCTTTCTGCTTATCAGTTCTCTCGAAAGCGAGATACCTTTGGCATGTTCATTATACACAAAATTGTACTATATGTAATGAAGGATGTATCATTAGGGATGGCAACGGATCGAGTCGGTTTGGGTTGGGTTTCTTCAAACCCAACGTAGATGAATCTGCTGAAAATTCAGGTAAAATTGATGCATGGGTTCAAAAAACCCCAACACAGCGGTTACCTTCAAGTAGGGGTGGTCGGACGGTTACCGGTTAGCAGTTAACCGTCGGTTTCAACCAAAATCGACCTTTTTGGCTATTGAGTTTGTTAGAATATGTTACAATTGACTATTGAGTTTCAATTTCTCAATTTGTGTAATTGTTTCTGTAGGGCGAGACCTCCAGCTCCTCGTTGGTGAACGAGGTGCCTCTACTGATGAGACTGCTCCTCGTGGTGGAGCACCTCCGACTCCTTGAGGTCGTGGTGGTGCGGGTGCCACAGCGCCTCCTGCTCAGACCCGGGGTCATGGTGGGCGTTCAGGAAGTTGGCCTATTCAACCTGCTGAACCATCGGCATCAACTGCATCGAATCCTGCCCCTATCGATAGTGGAAGTACACCTGCTGAGACTCAAACAGTAGACACGGCTGCTCCGGCTTCAGCTAAAGTTAAAGGAGACAACCTCGACCTCAAGAAATGGTTGTAGGCGGAGGGTAATGCTGATTACTGGAAGGATTTTATGAAGGTGGTGGTGAATGAGTATCCGATGGGAGAGTGCAGGCATTGTCATACTCAAATCAAAGCTCATCCTTCCAAGAATGGGTCTTCTCCGCAATGAATAACCATCGGACATCATGTTTGGCTAAGGTGGCGGCATCGAAGAATCAGAATGTTTTGAACTTGCAGACATCGGATGGTAGTCAAAGTCAAGTAAGTCTTTTATGGAAGTTTGATCAAGCAAAAGCCATATATGCCTTTTTATAATGGTGATTTTATTAAAGAAAGCAAACAGAACAAAGTACAAACAAACATGAACAAAGGCTCAAGAGGACTTAACCCAGAACTCAGAAGGAGTTCTGATATAGAAGAAAAAACAAGTGGCAAAGAAACAAAAAAGCACAAGTACAAAAGAAGAACAATACAAGAAGGGAAACAAAAGTAAAAAACAGCCAGACGGACAAGAGAGTCCTAGCTGAAACAGGGGAGGGTAAAGCTTAACCATGATGATAATTATGGATGAGTCATCATTTCGCTTAATGGAGAGGAAAGGGTTTAAGCAGTTCATGCTAGTTATTGAGCCACCATTTAAGACACCTGGGAGGAGAGCTATAAGAGATGATTGCTATCATATCTTCTTGGAGAAAAAAGTGTATTTGATTGAGTTTTTTGAATGAAAGAGCAAAGGCAGAGTTTCAATCACCACATATACATGGACTTCTGATAACAACAAGAATTACATGTGTGTGACTGCTCACTTTGTTGGAATTGATTGGAAGTTGCAAAAGAAGATTGTAGCCTTTGTTCCCATCACAAGTCATAAGGGAAAGGATATTGGAGAGAAGCTTGCAGGAGTTCTTGAAGAATGGAAGGTGAAGAATCTGTTTTGCGTGACCATAGACAATGCAACTTCAAATGATGTTTTCAGTGATTGCATGAGAACGAAGTTAAATAGTGGGGGTGTGATTTGATGGATGGGAAGTATCTGCACTTTCGATGTGTGGCACACATCAATCTGGTGGTGCAAGATGGACTGTAAATGATTGGAGGTGTTGTGGATAGAGTTCGGGATTGTGTGAAGTGGGTGATGTCATCACCAGCTAGGTTGACAAGGTTCAAGAATTCCATGAAATTTCTGAATTTGGACTAAATCAAATTGGTGTCTTTGGATGTACCGACCAGGTGGAACTCCATCTATATCATGTTAGAGTCAGCAGAACGGTTTGGTGGAGTGTTTACAACTTTGTATTCAAGTATACACGTTCATGACCTTTAGAGATTATGTTGACTCAAGAGATGGTCTTCCAACTAAACAAGATTGGCATCTGATTGGGAAGTTGATTAAGTATCTGAAAGCCTTTAATGACTTGACCCTCCTAGTCTCGGGTAGGTGGAATTTGAATTGATTGTTTTATTATTACCATTTGACCATCTTTATTTGTTTCACTCTAATTTTCCGTGTTCTCTTCTCATTGTACAAGAACTAAATACGTGACTACCCATCTCTTCTTCATGAAGCTTGTTCCAGTTTATGACATCATTGAGAATTGAAGAATGATCCACATGAAGAGATCCAAAGGATGGCACAAAAGGTTGCGGAAAAGGTACAGAAGTATTGGTTTGAGACACCTGTTATGAATGAGGAGAACATGAAGGTGAATCACTTAATTTATATAGAATGTGTGCTTGATCCTAGAAGTAAACTTGATATGGTATCCGAGGTTTTATAAATGATTTATGGGGGTATAAAGGCATGTGAAATTGACAGTTCCATTAAAAGGGAGATGCACCAGATGTTTGAGGTTTATAAGGGGAAGTATGGATCAAAAACACCATCCTCTACATCTGAGCCTACCACAGATGAGAGCATTGGTAGTGGTAGTTCTGCTGAAGGTGTTGGTGATAGGATTAAGAAGCTTGAGGAGAGACTCAGAAAGAGGAAAAGGGAAGCAATTCTACAGGAAACAGGAGGTAGCTTGACATCTATTTGAAATGTCAAACTGATGGCATCAATGAGGAGAGTGATGATGGCAAGTTTGACATCTTGGGTTGGTGATCTCGACACTCTGAATATATTAGATTCTTGCTGAGATGGCTAATGATATCCTAGTTGTTCCCATCTCTTCTGTTGCCTCAGAGGCAACATTCAGCTATGGCGGCCGGATTCTCAGTCCATTCAGGTCCTCTTTGAGCGACACAATTGTGGAGGCATTCATTTGTGCTGCGGATTGGATAAGATATCTAACTACCAGATCCATAGAAATTGACGAGAATGAAGAAGATGAAGAAAATGTGGATTTGGAAAGTGGTGAGTTCTAAAACTCTCTTTATTGTTCAGGTTTTCACTATTTTTTTGTACCTAATTCAATGTATGAATTTCCTAACTCTTTGTTTTCTTTTTTCTTACTCAGTTAATGCCACTTTCCAGTCTAGAATAGAAAGTGCAAGTGATGGCAACGTTGCCAATGCAGATGCAAGTCTCAACATTCCAGTAGAGGGTGAAGAAGAAGTGTTGGAGGAAGAGTATGAGAAAGATGGATATGACGATTTTGGTCATGACTTCTTGGGTCGATTGAAACAATAGGGTTATGCATATGTTGGTTTTTCATCTGTTGTTGATAAGTGATAAATGATGATGATGTCTTGTTGATTTGTTGCTATTTGGAGGATCCATTGTGATTTGTGAATTGTGGAGTTTATGACTATATGTTGTTGAATTAATGAATTTGAGACATTAATTTTGTGATTTAGATGTATTTTTTATGCAAAAGTGATTGAAACTTTACTTTGGGTTATTTAGATGTAGAAATATAGGTTTGAGGCTTCAATTTTAGACAATTTTACTAATTTTTTCCTTCCAGGTTAGACTGGTTCTGTCGGTTTCCCTGTCCAAACTGAACCGATGATCATCATGTCGGTTACCATGGCTAACCGAACCAAAACCAAAAAACTGAACGTTCGGTGGTCAGTTAGTCATGGCTTCCTCACGGTCGGTGGTCGGCGACGGTAGGGGGTGATTCAATTTAACCGATAACAGAATTTTCGATTTTCAGTTAAAACAAAATCGACTGAATGAAACCCCTACCTTCAAGTGAAAACGCAGCATTTGAGAAAAGAACCATATATCAAGGACATGTACACACACAATCAAAACACCCTGAAATGAAAACTTACAAAAAAAAAACTTTAACACGAGTAACAAAAAGGTTTAAAGTTTTTGGGAAATCCTCCAATAATATATAGTAGAGTTTTGTCTACTTTTCTCTATTTCAAATTTCTTGCAACAATAAGTAGGAAGGACATTTTTTTCTTTACAATTAATTATTTATTCCATATAAAAAATATCAATACAGGATTTGCACACAGATCTCTTCAAACAAAGACAACAATTACAATTTACAACCAATTACACTACACAAATTTGTTGTATTTTTTTAATATAAAACATACACGAAATGACACTCTGAAAATCAGAGGACTTTTCCATTATAATTAGCAAGCCCACTAAGTCTACCGTATGTATTTTTATGGTGCTTGATACTGCAATTTTCATAGTCGAGTTTCATGTAGTTTTCTCAATTCTAAAATTACTGCTCTTTCCTTAATTTTTGCTAAAGGTAAATTGGTATTGGCTAACATGGAAGAACTAATTCTATTACTACGTGTTGTGTGCTTGTAATTTATATTTAAATTTAGTACTTTTTATCTTTGTTCTTATCTCTTTCAAACTTCCATCGAAATCCCCTCCATCGTGCAATAGTTTGCGCCCCTTTCACTTCATAGTACAAGGTCGATCGCCTTTGAAAGTCAATCTTCCAGTATCTCTTGGCACTACAATTTTATTGTTGGGGATTTAAACTCCGCAAGTAGAAGATTTTAACTTCGATATCAATCCATGGCGAATAAAATGGAGTTGCAGAAGGAGGATTAGAAATTGAATTTTTGGTTGAAACATACGCCTCTTGAGATTGAAGATATAGTGGATAAAAATTTGATTGTACAACGGAGAGTGGTGGCTATTGGATCTTTAAGTTTATGGTTTTTACAGCTATCGCAACCTATTTATATCTTAAAACGAGGAATCATTGATTGATTACTGAAGCAGGTCGTTTGATTCTTTACTCAACCTACTGGAACTGATAGAGAAAGTGTATAATTTTGTTCCTTATTACTTTGATCGAGTATATTAGTTAC